TCAAGTATTATGTTTTAAAATATTAAGAACCATACTTCCATCAATCAAATAAGATACCATCAAATTAAGTAATTAACTACTACAATTCAGAAGAATTAAAAATTACAGTAATAATTAGTGTCAAACAAATGGAATACAACATTTAGAAAATTAAAAATTATTTTGTAAATGCAACTATAAAATAATTAAAGATTTCTTACCCTTTCTACAAATGGTCCCTTTTCAAGCACAAGAGATAGAAGCGTGAGTGGGGCTCTGCTTCCGCACGTTTCGAGTCCTTTTGATTTACCCTTTCCATGTTCACAATATTAGGATTTAATGGAAACCTGTTGAAACAACTGAATATTAATTATATGTTCACTAGGCGTTATTAGTTTATTATTAACGATAATTATCATTGTTAATACTTGTGTCCCACGAATTTTTCGACTAGCTCATTATAATTTTTTGAAATATAAGTCTGACTGCTACAATATTACATCTGTAAGTAGTTTGTCTATCTAATTCAAGGATGCTATCTCTTGGCAAGCCTATATTATAAAAATAAAACAGTCGTTAAAACCAAATCTATAGCATAACAAAGTAAGTTTTTTTTGAGAAATTTAGAATTTTAAAGGCACAATAATATCTTTAAGAAATACTTTACATTTCATTACAAAACGAAAGCAATCCTCACGACGTGGTCATATCAATATGAAAAATCTACAAACATCGCCTGAAACTGTTTTCAAAATTGAAAAATTATAACAAAAGCCTAATTATTCCACCTCAGCTAAACCGAAAATGTAAAAAATTCACAGTAGATGGTGGTGGACAGGTAAGATGCCATGATGAATTGCAATGTTGAAGCACGAAATCGTTTACGCCAAAAAAACCCTAAGCAACGGTAATCGACACCCCTCAATCACTAAATAGAAACGTATTCCACACAATTAAATGAAAATAGGATAAGTATTAGACTAAATACCTACAGGCGTTGTCTTCGTTTGTGGACAACAAAACAGGCGACTTGTCGTCTTCTTGAAGATCGAACACGGAATGACAAAATGACATCGACGGAAGACCCACAGATGAAAATTCCTTCTTCTATACTTATGATACATAGATAATAGGTTTTATAGGCGCGTTCAATTATGGTTATTCGGCTTAATTCGTAAACTGAAACCGACCGCCTTTAAATAGTTTCCACAACGCATTCAAAAAGATGTGAGTGAGATTCTTTGGCATCAGCCCGTCTTCACTTGCTCTACCTTGATAGCGAATACTGAGAAGACTGAAAAATAATACAATAATATATCAATGTTTCTTATTTGTATTTGCATTTTTAACTTAATGTGACCCAAAGTTGTAAACAAGAGTCATTAGTAACTGCTAACAGATCTCTTTAGTGTTATTGTTATAAAAAATGGATATTAGTAAAAACGTCATTATTTAAATTGAAATTAAAAAGTGACTACGGGGTTTTTACTAATCTCAATAATTTATTACAATTTATTATTATTATTATGAAGGAGCGGTGAGCCTTAATTTTTTTTTATCACTTTTGATATGAAAACCTCAAAAAAAAAACTTCACAATAATTTTTATGAAAGAAATTAGACTGATACATTGATTAAGTACAATCAATAGGCATTTCTTATTTATACTTTGCAGTTTTTAATGAAAATGTTCAGTTGTCCAATTATCTATCTACTCCTTCATGTATTTTAATTTTATTATTTGTGGTAATATATCAGCATGTACGTACATATATTATTGTCGTTGACCATTCACCAAACAATATTATTATTGATGAGTCAAGCTGCCATGCAAAAACCGCAAGAGAAAACAATACAAAGTCAAACAATTTAGAATGTATTTACATAAGTATAAGTAAAAGTAGTTCCCATCGTAGCTGTCCCTTTACCCCACAACCCCCCTGTTAGTATTTTAACACTCTTATCTCTCGGTTAAAATACAGTCAATTTTCAACATATTTGTGTAATAGTACCAAGTTCGTCTGAACGATAATAAACGATAAAAAAATCCGTACAACAGACACGGATTCACTAAAATATTTCGACCATTAAATTCAAACACAATTTTTAATACTTATTTTCGCTGGGTTAATGTTAGGTTTCCCAAATTATTTGAAAATATGTAAATAATTGCGCTTTAATACAACAGAGTTACGCATGTGATAACAGTTGCACTTTTTACTATTCAAAATTACAGTTTTAGGATCAAAAAAGTTGATTTTACGATAGTTAGTAATAAATGTTTTTGTACGGTTAGGTAATTTAATGTTTCAACAAGAATATTCTACACTCTACAATTGTTTTTTGCAGCCTTAAGTATTTTTTGGGAGTACCTAGATAGACATCTAAAATCTAAATGTATTTATATATAAGTATGTACTACATTTGAGAATGGCTTAATATGCCGAAATAATTATTGTAGAGTAAAAAACTCTTGTTGGATCATTAAAAAACAATTATCTTTTTTCTCACCATTAATTTTAAGTTATTTATGTTTTTTTTGTGAAAAATATTTTGACGTCTTTAAAAGATTAATATTTATAAAATAAACGTGTGCAGCTAATGCCAATTTTGTGGAATACACTCGAGGTATTGCATTTACACATTACCAAATAGAATTAAGCAAAATTTAAAACTAATTTCAACCTTCAGCAAAAATATTAATTTTCTTTATCTAACAAAAAATTTTAGTCCAGACCTGTCGTACAATGAAGGGTCACCTCTAATGGACAGAATAATATAAAATACAAAAATTAATTCTCAGAAACTGAGTGTGCGGTTATGCAACCCAATATACCCTAGTGAATGTTAAATGTAATATGTAATCGAGACAGTCAAAATAAAAAAGTGAATGTTATTGATTTACGAATTTATCTTCCCTTAGTGATCAAATGACCAAACCTGTTTTTATTCAAATTTCATAATTTCTAATAAAATCAAGAACATTCATTTTGCAAGTAAAAAGTGCTTTATTTAAAACAGTCTTAACTTGTCAACTGTATTACTATTTCATTATCAATTAAAAGTATGATAAAATGTTGCACCATCTGCCCTGCAAAGAAATCCCTTTCAAGTAATTGGAAAAAACACCTATGCATATATTTTTTGAAAAAATAAACCGTTTTAAATATCAAACAATATTTTAAGATTACTTATAAGCCTATTTTGTAAATTTTATATACATTGTATAATAAACAATAAAACCACACATACTTTTAATTAATAAAGAAAAAATAAGACTAATTAAATATTATTGGTAATCAAATAAACGAAAAATTATAATCAAATGAATGGTATTGAATACGAATTGATTAATTAAAAAAGCAAAAAAGTTCACTTCTAAGGGAGTCAAATGAAAATTTGTGTAATTTTTTATAAAGAAACAAATGATGAACGACGAACAAATCGAGGGTTGGTATTTTCAGTTACAAGTTTAGATGTAAGATTCATTTTAATTAGTTAGTATTACGTATAATACCAATTGAATAAATAAATATGCAAACATATTTTCAATTTTTTGATGTCTAGCTTACTCTCTTACTGGTTGCGACGCAATATAAAATTTTGCATAATGTTCCTTATACAAGGGATTTTCAAAATTAAACGCCTTTAAAATAGGAAAATTCGATATATCTTTTTAAACCATTGAATTTTTTCAAGACCAACAAATACTAACATACTGGAAATGATTGGTTATTTATTATGATTTAACCCTAAACAGTAAATTAAAATCTAAGTATTTTTAATATTGTTACTTACTTCTATTTACTTCTGTTGTTTCCGTTTTCAATGGATAAAAGTATTGGAACATCCAGTGTGAATTGAAAGAATCCTTGCAGTCAATTTTCAATGACAGAGTCAAGTTTTAATGTTCCTGTGAAATCCATACATTAAATAATTTTCAAACATTAACGATAAAGAGTGATAATAGAATCTCAAATAGTAATGCTGAGAAATACAGAATTTTCTATTACAAAGACTCCAAAGAAAAAACTTTTAGATACACATGACATTAGTAACCAGTATCTACTTTTTAATTTTAATCTGATATTTTAATTATGACCTACATTCTTACCTAAATAAATTTCAAGTTGTTCCAATGTAATGAAGACACTGCACACTAGTCTAATTGTTGATATTCCAGTAGTATTGATAAAGATTTCAATATGCTTTTGTTACAGGTCAATCTGTTGGAAAGAAGAAAAATAACAAATTAACTAAATTATTAAAGAAAGTAGAATCAGTAAGTTTTTCACAATCCTGTTCATTAAAGCCAAAATATTTACAATCATTAAACAAATCACAGTAGTAGTTCAACATACTATGTAAATCAAATATCACAGGAATTATTATTTAACTTGTTGATACATCTGCAAATAATTTAAAAAAAAAATTATCAATTTCACCAAATTGAATTCTAAAGTTTTATAATGCACAATTGCAAGTACCTAGTTTGTCAATGTTTATAATTGTAAAAACAGTTGATACCAGTGGGCATTAAATAGTAAATAAATAATTTTCTTTTTTTACCAAAGTCTAATTAGGTATATTTAATTAATACTAACGCTTAGCTTTCAGATGGTGTCATTCAAGACGTTAGTCTTAAGCAACAGTTACCAGGTAGTTTGTTTCCAGTGGAAGAAAAGCCCTTTCACACTTCCTTCAAAGACGCTGCTTTTGTAAAAGCAACAACATTCACATATAGATAGATATCACAAAGAGTCTCACAATTGTAGAAATTGTTAAAACGTAAAGGATCTGAAGGGTACAAGAGAAGAAACTAATAATTTAAATAAATTAAAAACAAACCTAATACAAACACAAGTTGACACATTTTGATATTTGACATCACCATAGATGGCAATGATGACAGTCATAGAAAATAATAGCAATTCACATCGTCCAACAGAATGTGGATGTCATATCATAGAAATTTATGAAAGGACAATCATAGATGCACAAAACACTTAGGGTGCTTTCAAGCGAGGAAAACACAAAGTGAAACAAAGCTATTGTTCCATTAAATAAAATTTTGGAGGTTACAACCTGCACACAAACCAACCTTGCTCTTATGTTGATATTTAAAACAATCAGGTCATAACAAATGCTTATTGGAATGGATCTGTATCTCAAATTTAGTCATTTTTCCTAGACGAAACTGAACTCCTGAACTCTTAATTAATAATTAACTGATTATTCACAACGAAAATCATTTAGAAACATTCACAAACCATTGGAACAGCTTAATGTTTAAAAAAATGAATTGATTTTTGTCTTTTAAACTGTATATAGATTATACATGAAAGAAAAATATACTTCAGAATTTGACTAGTATCTTCATTCGCTTAATATGAAATATAGGGATGGTAATAACCTAAAGTAAAAAAACTGGCAGAATTACTACAAATGGTCAATTTTGAGAACCAAAATATTGATCCTAAAACTGTTACGAATTATTGAAATAAGTACCTATAAGAAATAACAAAATTAATAAAATAATTTAAGAAGCGCATAACTCAGTTATGGTACTCTATACTTCCATTGTCCCCAAGTTCTTCAGGTAATTGCAAAATCAGTAGCCTGTAAATCTCATAACATAAAACTTAGATGTATTATTGCATTTACACATTACCAAATAGAATTAAGCGCAGCCTTAATGGCCAGAAGTAATCCTAACGAAATTGTTTAAACAAAAATTAATTAAATAATGCAAATGCCGTTAAAATAGCAACAATATTGATTTATTACATTTTTTTAACTAAACATAATCATCTTTTTACTTGATAAATACATCTTTTTCGCTTATTACTAATTAAATATTGACGCCCAACCCATTTTCGGCATATTAAGGGCGCCAATTAGAGTCAAATCCAGCTGCTGTGTCCGAGTCGGAGTCTTGTGTGGAGCTTCTATGAGAGTGTGACATGGACCGAGGCATCTGATTTGGGGTGCCAGGTGTACTGTTTGCACCTGTTGAATCTAACATCTTTTTAGACTTTCTTTTCACGAAGCCTTTTGGAGCGGGCATCGAGTTCTCCTACAAAAAAGAACTAATTCATAACGCCACATTTATATTATACAGGGTGTTCCACCTAAAGCGGTTTCCATAACTCTGTTACTATACATTTAATAAAAAAATGTTTTTTATAAAAGTGGCATGGAATCATATGGTGCATACACAGAAAATATTTTTAGTCATACAGGGCGTTCTATTTCTTCTGGAAGCTACCTAACTTCGTTATTTTAAATGGAACGCCGTGTATACTTTTACATTTTTTTTTGTTTAATTTTTTAACTGTTCCTTATACGTATCTCTAGTAGATTTTGAGATATTTAAGTGTCTGAAACTGGAATGACGCATGTTAAATGGTACCGTTCGATGCAAAATTAAAAGCCCTTTCTATTGATATAAGGTTTTAAATATAAAATAATCGATTTTTTTTACAAAACTGTTAGAGATAAATATTCTATTCTATATTTTATATGTAAAGATGTAGAATAAAGTCAACATTAAATTAAATACAAAAACAAAAATAAGTCGCTAACATCCATCATAAAAGAATATTCTGCAAAAAAAAACTGCTTACCGGAGCTAAATTGTCGGCTGATCCCCAACTTTTATATACTTTCCCATTCATGTTGTCGACAGGATTCACAACGGAATTATTTCCCACAAAGAAATTGCTAAAGGCTTCGGTTGTTCGCTTCACTCTTACATTCAAAGAGCCTATTCTTAAAAAACTGGAGTCTTTGTCTGGAAGTTGATGATAATTAAGTTACACTTTTTTCAAATCTACATTAATAAAACTCGATGGAGACTTTTAACGAAGTAAAAAGCAGGGCGCAATATAATTATAATAATCTTTATTTTCTCTTTTTTTTTTAGTGTATTT